TCTAACAACGCGCTCTTAGGTTAATCAGTAAAATCAAGACCATGGAAAGCGACTGTTCACGAAATTCGGAGGAAAATCTAGCTATGATCGATGGATCTGATATAGAAAGAAGGTTCCTTGAGGAGAAGGCGGAAATTGTTCGAGGATTTCTGCAGGAGAGAGAGATTGTTGATCGCGCCCACGAAGACGAGAAAAATGATATGCGTTTAGCTTTTGAAGTGGAAAAGGAAAACATGAGAAAAGCCTTTGAATGCGAGAAAGAAGAAATGCGACAGAATTTCTTAAAAGAGAAAGACAACATCCGCTTGGAATTTCAGGAATCGAGACATGTTTTGAAGTTGTCTTTCGAAGACGAGAAATCTGCATTGATAAAATCATGGGATCGTGAAAAACAGACTCTTCTTGACAATTACATCAAAGAGAAGAAGGAATTAAGAGCGCAATTTGAGCGATTTTTAAGGGAGAAAGAGGAAGGATTTAAAGCCGAAAAGGCTGAAATGGAAGCGAAGATTCGCAAAGAGCTTGAGGGAATCGAGGAAGTAAAAAATGAGCTGAGGCGGACATTGTCGCAGGGCTTGGGCGATCTGGAGAATGTTTACTTCGAGGAGAACGCGTACCTCGAGACCCTCTATAATCACGAGCAACCAGAGGTTGATATGCACTTTAAAAGTATATCAGATGCCGAAACGAGCCTGGATAAAGAGGAGCTGTTAAAATCGCTCAAACAAGAGAAGACCAAAATGCATTCTCACTACGCCAATAAGCACAAGCTAGTTGAGCACCAGTTCCCGTTGGAAATCGTCAGGGACATGGAACAGAGGTTCAAACAGCAAAAGAACGATTTAATGAACATTTTTAGAAGAGAAAAGTCGGACATGGAAAAGGGCTTTATTAAAGAAAAGGAAGACATCAGACGTAAATTCGAGGTGGAATTTCGCAGAATGAATTCAACAACAGAGGTTGAAATTCGAGTCGGAAATACAAGGTTACGAGCACGACATCTCTGTTTTGAAATATCAAAAAGAACAGCTGGAAAAGTGCTTTTCCTTAGAAATGCGAACATTGAAATTAAAATTCGACCACGAGAAGCTTGAAATTGAGAACAGGTTTAAAAACGAGAAGAAGGACCTTAAGAGGGTTTTGAAAGGGCAATACGAGAGAAAGCTGAGTGGGGATAAACTCCGGCTTGAATGGCTACTAGATCAGTTTCGCCTTGGAAGAAGAGCAAGCACCGATCACATGGACTCTACTGGCTCGGCGCTCAGCACAAGTTCTATTTATTCCGATTAATCTTTACAGAAAGATGATGAAGTGCCGGGAAAACTTAACAGGTCAACTTCTCAAGTACCTCAAAACAAATAGCAGTTGATACGGTAAACATGCCTCCGTCGATTTTTACTCGCGCGACTTACATACTCGGTCTTTCACAAATAGTCACTTAATTTAAGTGAAACGACCTTCTCCCTGAACAAGCCGATTGACTGTTAAGTATAGTGAGAAGCTTTTTGGCTAATTATCAAGAACAGGCAACACAAATCTAAAATGTTGTGTCACTCGAACAAATACAAATGTACAGGTTTTTTAATTTATTATTTTTTTTTAAATTTTGCTATTCAGTTTCTCACTAATTGTTTTTTTTTTCCGTTCGCAAATGACATTAAGCGCCTTACCTTGCCAAATGAGACTGAAACAATAATAATAATAATAATTTACATTTATATAGCGCAAACCTCTATATGAATATATTCGGTTGCGCTTTACAATATTGTTATATTAAATTTATGTTAAAGGTGACTAAAGCATGAGCAACTATTAAAAACTACAATAAAAAGTATTAAAAACTATAAATAAAAATAAATAAATAAATAATGATAATAATTAAAAAAAAAAAAACTATTATAAAAGCCAACAATTAAATCTATTTAAAAGCTAAATTGAAAAAATGAGTTTTAACAGCAGTCTTAAAAGTGTCCAATGTCTTCATGTTGCGAATTTCCGAAGGTAATGCATTCCAGAGATAAGGTGCAGCTGACTGGAATGCACGATCGCCAAGAGTTGGATGGGTCTTAATGCATGGTAACTCGAGGAATATAGACTCATTTGACCTTAGAGAGTACTTGGATTGCTTTTTGGTAGTAATGAAATCAATTAGATAATTAGGAGCTTGACCATATAAGCACTTAAATGTCAAAAGTAGAATCTTAAACTTTATACGGTAACTTATTGGAAGCCAATGAAGGTGGAAAAGCAATGGTGTAACATGGCAGAATCTAGGTGTTCCGGTGACCAACCGAGCCGCGGCATTCTGTATCCGTTGGAGTTTCATGATATGTGAATTCGGGAGGCCATATAGTAGACTGTTACAATAATCTATTCTACTGGTGATAAAAGCATGAACTAATGATTCGGTGACTGAACGACTTAAATATTTCCTAATTCTACGCATGTTATAAAGATAATTGAAAGCGGATGAGCAAGTTTTGTTGATATGACTTAGCATACTCATTTTAGAATCAAACCAAGCTCCTAGGTTTCGAACTTCAGAAGATGGAGCAATTTGGGAGTCCCCAACCGATAAGGTACTAATGTTACTGACTTTCTGAAGTTGTTGTCGTGTTCCAATCAGAAGACATTCTGTCTTATCGGAATTCAGTTTTAACTTATCCGAATGCATCCATCTACTGATATCAGCAATACATGATTCCATGGCAGTTATAGCAGCGGTCTCCTCCAAATCATTTCCTGATCTAAACGCGATGTACAGTTGCGTGTCATCTGCATAACAATGGGAATTAGGAAGATGTGATTCGACGATCTTAAAAAGTTTACTAGCATAGAGGGAAAACAATAATGGCCCGAGACAGCTGCCTTGTGGAACTCCAAATTTAAGATTAAAATTACTCGATAGAACTCCGTCTATATAGATGCGCTGGGTTCTGTTAGAAAGGTACGATTCAATCCAATTAAGTGCAGAGCCTGAAATTCCAAAATCAAACTGAAGGCGATCTAAGAGAATCCTATGGTCCACGGTATCAAACGCGGCGCTTAAATCAAGAAGCACTAACAACGTGACCTTCTGATTTTCCATGTTCATCAGAATGTCATTCTTGACTTTAAGCAGGGCAGTTTCTGTGCTATGGTGCCGTCGATAGGCTGATTGCAATGAAGGAAAAAGATCATGCTCATTTAAGTAGGACTGAATCTGATCAGCTGCCACTCTTTCAGCCAATTTTGAAACAAAGGAAAGATTGCTGATCGGTCGAAAGTTTTTAAAAACCAAGTCAAGACCTTGTTTTTTTAGCAGTGGTGTAACAATCGACTCTTTCCAAATGTCAGGAAAAATCCTGATTCAAGCGACAAGTTTATCGTAGTAGATAATATCGGAAGTAACTCATCAAGGCAATCTTTCAAGATATTAGTGGGAACAGGATCAAGTAAACAAGATTTTGTCGGCGCTCTGAGCGCAAGTTTTTCTAAAGAGTCCATGTCTACACGGCGAAAAGCAGTAAAGGACGAAGAACAATGAGAAGAATGGCGGTTAACAGTGCTGCACAAATTCTCAGTTGCATCAAGGCTAACACGAAGATCCGATATTTTCTTAATAAAGAACGACCCCATGTCATTAGCCAAGGCTAACTTATCGCCGTGAGGTGGAAAAGGCGTATCTGCTGTCTGATTGAACAGTTTCTTTGTAGCAGCAAAAAAAGCTTGCGTTGATCTCCAGAAATGTTGTTGACAAAATCTGTGTAAAATTCACGACGAGACTTATTCATAAGAAAGACAACTTTGTTCCGAAGAAGTTTGAATGTTCTCCAGTCAGATTCAGACTTTGTAGACCTCCAGTTACGCTCAGCTATCCTTCGGCGACGTTTCGCAGATCTGATCTCATCAGACAACCATGGAGCTTGAACTCTTTGAGTCATGGATCTCTTCCGCCAAGGAGCGTGTTTGTCGGTGATGGACTTTAAAGTAGTATTAAAACAGTTAACGAGATCAACAAGGTGATTGGGAGTGTTAAGTAGCATTATTAAACAAGAAAAAAAAAAATAATAATTTACAATAGAAACTAGAAAAAGCCACCGTAAAATTAGATATTAATTTATATTATATAATCATTATTCTAATGCATTAGTAAAATTTTGCTTTTTCGTTTGCTGTATGATCCTAGAAACACTGGCATACGGCAGCGTGAAGAGAATATATCGGCGCGCTGTATTAAAACAAAGGAAGAATTATTCCTGTTATATTATCAGCATGAGTGACATTAATAATTGATGATATTCGTATGGAATATAACTCAGACTCTCACTCCGTGACTAGCCGCAAAATAACAGGAGAGTGGCTGAATAGAAGTGAAGACTGATTTCAGATGATAAAAATAAGACGTGGTTGCCAGGGATGTAACTTTATACCTTTTTGCAGAAGATCTTAAATAAACTGTATACTGCGAATATATATTCAGTGAATTTAGTTTTAGTGCAGATGTTAGTAAATACTACTAATTTAGAATATACGTGCACTGGATTGAATTTTGGTCAAGGTGATTTATGACACCCACCTCGTTTAATACAAGCCGGTCACACTCTTCAGGTAGAAACTTCATCTTTTTATGAGATGGACAAGTTCATTTGTTTTCTTACTCACGAATCGAATCAGAATCGACCACGACGTTAGTAACCAAAGCTACAAATACAAGGCTAAAGCAACAAACTTTTCAACCAGCTGAAACAAAGAAATTCTTAAATCTCTACTTTGTAACTTTAGGAGCCTTCCATTCACCCTCTGGTCAAGGGGTTGCGTGATTTAAAGAGCAAGGGAAAAAAATCCCTTTTGAAAACACATTCACCATTGTCACATTGCCCTTAATACACCTTGTTCACCACGACCATTGTTTCCAATTTCACAGGGGGGAGGGGGAAGGGTGTGTTTGAGGGAGCTGAACAAGATGATAGGTGCATATGGGCAATGTGAGAATGGTGAATCAAACAAAAAGAATCTCCAAATCTCCACTGAGCTAAAGAATCTTATATCTGCAACGCAAATTTTGTTCACATTGGAGTTTTTGTATGCATGAATCTGCTGGTTGGGGGAGTGAGGTGAAGTGGGGCGATAGGCACGCTTGGAAGGAGCCTTCGTCTCCCATATAAGCCCTTGGAGCCCTTTCCGACGAAAAATTGTTGTTTATAGCGGAGCTCTCGCGCGCGAAGCGGAACGCCATGGGTAAGAAAATGTGGTAATCTACCCATCCCAGAAAATTTGGTCATCACGTGACCGTACGCCCGACCGTCCGTCCGCACCACAGGTATACCAATGTTAAATAACTCAATCAACAAGTATGGCAACTCAAATGCAACTCGAGGTTATTTTGGCGGGAAATCGCATGGCCACCCGTGTCTTGTAAAGCAGAGTCAGCTAAAGAGTCAATAAAGACGAAACCGAAAAGCGGAAGAAAGCGCAAATTGTTTCCGCTGTATCCGGGTTTTCTAAAAGTATTAAGCTTGGATTAATTGTCATGTCCAATAAATTTGGACTATAGAGCAAAAGAAAGATAGAAAAAAAGCGATAGGCCAGCGAAACTCAACGAGAAAAAGGGCGGCAGAGATCTAGAGCGGGAGATAAAAAACAAAGGAGACATTTTTTTGTTGGAGGAACAACATCAACATGAAAATTTTGTAGCCGCGGTGACAATGCTAACGGCCATCAATGCAAGGAGAAAATGCGCAGCAGTGAAAAAAAAGTGAATAAGAACACTTGCGACATTGCCTCCATAAAAACGTTTCTGGAAGTTTCACGTTGTAGTCGTCCAAAACAACGGCAAAGAAATGTACAAAAAACGTGTGCTGCATGTGCAAAGTTGCTTTTTTGCTAATTACACCTATTGTTGTTTTTTCACCGTTCTCCGGCGATGCCCTCGCCGCTTAGCCATACACGATTTTATATTTTGTTTGAACAAACTATAAATATTATCGAGAGCTTCGCTTTTAGCCCTGGCTAAATCTATATATTAGAAATAAGTAATATCCAGTCAGAGCAGAGCTATGATCATACGTCACACGCTGAGTCACAGAAGCGCGATTTGAATTGCTGCCAACAATGGCGGTAGCCAGCGTGAAAGAGTTATCTGATGATAGTTCTGATCTTCTATCGGGTTAAAAATACGCGCTTAAGCCATAATAACAAAAAGAAAAAGTGATACACTCATGCGACGTCTTCAAGTTTGCTTGTAATCTTGACAGTTGGCTGCATATCAGAAGTTTTATCACTAACAACCCAGTTCCGGCCCTCGACTCGACAGCGGGTAAATAAAATACAGTATTGAAAATCAAGCTCTTTAGTTACTTTACTTTACTGGTTAACTCACTTGTGCAATGCTTTGGACCTTTTTACAAATTCTACAAAGGACCACACTGCATCAACACACAGTTAATTTTGAAGTTAAAAGTATGTTGTTCCAACTGTGTTAGATCGAACACGGACTGCATCTTTCGCTTGCGCGGCGGCTGTAATTGTGCGAGATCTGAGGTCGCGAATTATGAACGGAGTATTATAAGCCAAATTAATGTGGCTGTGGATGAAAACGGCTTTTGATAGCGTACAATCTCAACGGCAAATATTTCAAGAGGACATATCAAACAAAACAAACGAAATGTTCAACAGGAATGAAATCGAATTAAAAGCGAAATTTACTGTTGACCTAATGATACTGAGGGTTTCATTCACACAATAAAACAACCGTCGATACAGACTCTACTGAGCCTGGTATTTTTCTCTTGCTACTAAGAAACTAAGTAACATGTAAACAAGGAAAATAACAGGGAGTCATAAAATTAAAAAAGGAGCGAGTCGATGGGGCTAGCGACTTCAAAAGATTGAAATCCTTGAATGAAAGAAAGGTTCTCAGAGGTTTCACGGCGGAAGTTAGATGTTTCGGCATGTCACGTCCTCTTGCATATTACTTTTGCGGTTATTTGAGGTCTACAAGTTTTTGCTGCGGCCTTGAAATCTTGTAGCATCTTGAGCCCGATCTTGAGAAATAGTGTGATTGCCAAACAGTGTTTAATTTCTTCCCGAGTTTGATAATTCTGCACCCAAAGGGTTTTTGTAGCTTTCATGTCTTGTGACAACTTACCGTAAACTGCCGCTTATAAGCCCATCCGCTTATAAACCCCCCCCCCCGGTTATAGGCCCACCTACATGCAAACAAAAAATACATCCGATTATAAGCCCATCCGGATATAAGCCCCAGTTACAGTTTTGATTTTGTTTTGAAATTTAACTGAATTCGATTTATTGCTGCCTTTTTAAGGCTTCAATTTTAAGAGTAATAAATTTAAATCATACGTCGATCAACAGTGCTGTTGCTCATTTCGAAACGTTTTCTTTTTCCGTCCGCTTATAAGCCCATCCGGATATAAGCTCCCCCGTTTATAAGCCCACCCAAAACCCCTTACGAACTTGTATAAGCCCAGGGCTTATAGGCGGCATTTTACGTTATAGCAA